GAGACGCGGATTGCATCGGAGCTTCTGAGAAGAGAGAAGTACCTCGAGGACTTCGGAGGAGAGCTCGGGTGTTGCTGTCGTCACGGCGAGATGAGACACCACCTGGAGCCAGCTCGCCTCCAGGTGTGCTGCCGAGTGCCGGCTGGAAACCTCCCTGTGTGAAACCCTTGGGTACTTCACCAAAAGGAGTGGTTTTGGCTGGCTACGATTGTTATTCATTATATACGTTCTAGTTGAGTTGAAAATCAGCCAATCAGAGGCCTCGAAAACTCACTAGAACGCATCCAACAAATAACCATCGCCCACCGGTCTATGACCGAGCCACCGAGTAGGCAACCCACACGTACGCACACGCACATGCGGCGCAGTCTAAGCTAGTGCTGTTAGGAGCGTTGGAAGCCGGGAAGTGTTGGGCCACCCCTCCCTCACCCCTCATCCGCGCACCGCCCTGCACGCCGTCGTCGCCCCTAGAGGGCCCGGGACGCGAGGGGCTCTACTGGCGGCGTCCTTTGGACACACGCGCGGTGGAGACGGCGAGCGCATGGCTCGGAGCGGAGCAGTGACCGGCCACGGGTCGGATTCGGCAGCTGCCTGCTGAATGCCCGCTCGGGATCGACAAAGCCCCCACCTGCGCATCTGCAGGTGCGGTGGAGAAGGGGGAGGGGGGGTCCTGACATTTTTGTCAAGGGCGTCACGCGGCCACGGCAATGGGACAGGCCGGACAGAACCGTCCCTTCGTCAGTCAACGCCTCAACGGAGCAGCCAGCAAGCCTCCCGGCCGGACCCGACGCGCGACGCGGACGACGCGCAGCTCGCGGACGCTCGCGGCCGCGATCGGCCCCGCCCCGCGCCCGCGCCCGCCCGCGCCCCTGGCAGTAGCGCTCTCTGAGGGCTGAGTAAGTAAGGAAAAGGGAAGGGTGGCACAGGGATGGGAAAAGCATTGCTGACTGCTCAGTTGCCTACCGTTGCCTACCCTCCTGGCGACCGTACACGGTTGTCCGTTTGAGCGTTTGGTGACGCTTTTCCATTTGCATTGAGACTTTTTGGATAAACTCTAAAACTGACAAAATATTCCTTTTGCCGCGTCCGCTCATATATAAATATGAGGCCAAAGAAGAGGTTGTTCGCGTTAAATTTTTAAAATCAATTGTAAAGGTGTCTTCGTCGCGGGATTATATCGCACTGGAGGCAACTGAAACCTGCCCGGGCGTGGGGCAAAGGGGCTAGTGGCGATTCGGCGAAGTGGGAACGCTTTACGTGGTGGGGGCCAGCTGACGAAGTGGTGGGGGTTCCTTCCTTCCGACCATGCTACCCCCTGTTCCCTTACTGCAGGGCCCGGACGCCCCGAGCTGAACCGGACAGGACAGCTCCACGACGACAGCGCAGTCCAGGACCAGCCGCAGCACGCAGCACGCACACCAGGCCCTCTCCAGCGCCGAGCGGGCGGGCGACACATCAGTTCAACGAAGGTGATTCTTGTTGATGGGAAGGTGGCAACCGCCAATTACTCTGCGACCCTCCCATCTCGAGCGGGGGTGCTCCGCAGATAGTGTGTGGGACTTTGCATCGCAAACCGCCTAGCCGATTATGCTCTATATATCTGCCTCCTGGCGAGCAGCGCTGGGTCCTACTTGAGCGGCCGTTTACTTTGCGCCACGTCCTTTTGAGTGTGTACAACAAAGCGAAGGTCTTGAGGTGACCCGAAAAGCTAGTGGGAATGAGAAGCTCCGTAGACTAAATCGTAGTATTTTTTTAAACAGCCCCCAAGAGTCTCTAAAAGAAGGCGAAGTCGCCCCCCCCCCAACCCGGTTTCCCCCACATCCCCTCTAGCACTGGGTAACATACGGGGCGCTTGGATGTGGCGTGTAATAATTTTTAAAATTCACAATTATAAGCATTTCATTGCAATGCCGACAATTTTGTAAAATAGTAATCCCCGTACTTCACCGTGTGGGAAAGGTTTGTCCTGGCCTGTCATCAGATGTGGTGGAGCGCCTCTTCGCCTCTTACTCGCGCCCTCATCGCACGTGAACTCTAGATCTTGCATAAATTTTCTCTCTCTTTATGGTGGGGCACAAAGTGTATCGCAGGTACTCAGGCACTCCCTTCTCTCTGAATCATCA